CTGGCAGGAGTAACAATAAGTAATAGCATAAGACATTCAGGAGAGACAGAGTGGGAAAGAAAGTAGGAATGGTGGTGAAATTAAGGAATGTTTACAGTGCTTCTGTCCCAGAGCAATCAAGAAAATAATCTTTGATTTGAGCTAAGAAACAATGGAGGTACAATTACACTTCTACATGTTTTATAGCGCACCAGATAGTTCCATTTAGCTAGGGAAAGTTCAAGAGGAGCAAGTTCACAAGCAAATTACAGAGGAGCTGAAACTATCAGAGTGGTTTTTCTTCTGTCTGGACTAGAAGAGATTGCACATACAAGAGCAGGCAAATCAATTGAGTGATTTGAAAACCAGGGTATGAGTTCTAAAATGGAACAGTTATCCACTGGGATCTATTTCAGTTCAAAGTAAATGTGAGAGTGAGGCTTACTGGGGTGCACTGGAATAGTTGGGTCTAGATGCATCAAAGGCATGGATGAGGCTTAGGGCAGCAGATTATCTGAGGCAGAAGTGGAAATAGCCTTTGTTATGGAGTTGGAAATAAGTCCTCTCTTTGTTGGTGCAGAAAAGTAGTTAGAAGCTCTCCTGAGATCAAAGTGACACTAGGGGTGTGAGTAGTTTGGTTCAGCCTGATGCAGTTGCTATGAAGAGGTGTGAGGTGACAATGTCTTTAGTCCTTCCAATGTTTAGTTGGAATAAATTGTAGCTATCCTGTTCTGGATATAGAACAAGCAATCTCACAATTTAGAGATGGGAAGGATCAAAAGAGGTAGTGGTGAGATCAAGCTAGGTATTGTCAGTCTGTATATGGAAGGTGATACTGTGACTACATGATCTGAAAACAACAGGCAGAGTGTAGATAAGAAATAGAATGAAGCCAAGGAATAGATCATTATGTGACGTGAATTAATGTGGAGCTGGAAGAGAAACCTTTGCAGGTGATTGTGTGGGCTCAACTGGGTGACAGTTAAATGTTGAAATTTGTGGAGAGGTTTATAAAATTGTAAGTAAGTAACCTTTTGCTCCATAAATGAGTTACTGGTCTACTTACTTTGAACTGTACAACTGTTTCACGAACAGTCCTTCAGTTTCATCCATGATTAAAATTAACTATATTTTCCAGTGAATAAATCTACTTCATTTATTCAATACATTAAATGATAGAATAAGCCAATATAGCACTCCAACCTCTCCTTCCTTTTGTTAAAATTTATAGACAAGTAAACAATTGTAGTCTTGATTTATTTTAAAAATCAGGAGGCAGTGTTTAATTGATGCCTGGGATGATTAAAGCTCTTGGTGTAAGGTCCTGGAAAGAAATAGGTTGGAATGTTTTATTTGAAGTGTGTAATAGGTTTTTCAAAGCATAAATGCTTATACCAAGCAAGAATATTTCCTACTTATAGACAAGTAAATTAGAGTTTTAAAATAAATTGAGATTCCTGTTCATTCATGGGAATTAATTTAATGAAACTACTGCAATTTTAAAATCAACTGTATCGTAAATGTAAATTTTGGTGCCTTTTTTAATGGTCTTTTTAAATGGCTCTCAGCTATTGAATGTTATGAATTTGGATGTTCTTCTTAGTAATTTACAAGAGTATTAATGACTGTACTGCAACCTTTATCTAGTGATCCATCATATGATAATAGATTGAAGAATATGTTTCTCCAATGGTATTTGATTAAATCTTTACATCGATATTTAAGTCTTTGAGGGACACCCCGTACTCTAAGGATTAATAGAGTTTAGAATGTGTAATTCATTCTTATAGTGATAAAAATCCTATTTTAACATTTAAAGTTTATTGATTTTTCTGGAAAATGATTTAAAGAGATAGAAGTCTTAAAAATTACATTTGAACACCACTGGAATTGCTCGGTGGTGATATTGTGTTATCAGTGTGGAATATGGCATTAATGGAATAGATCACGGAACTGTGAATTATTTATGTGGTCCAGATCTTCTCAATGCAGGGGTTTTATCTACCCAGTGTGGGTGATTGCTCATTTTTTGAATGACTGACTTACTATTGTTCCTTTCACCTTTTATTTGTTTGGTTTAAGAGAGAATGCTGTGTGTGGAAACCAGGCTATTTTTTGCATTTGGTGAATGATATTAACTTGAAATTAATCATTTTGCAATAATTTGTTTGTGAATGTTATTCAGATCATGTTATTTTGCAATTATTTTCCTCAGTCCTTGTGAAAGTGTGTATTTGATTAGCTCAATGAAGTATAACAATTGAATAAAAATATGGAGCATATTTTAGCAACTTGGTGACTGGTAAAAGGAGCAGGGCTGTCTTTGTGCAAATTAATATCTATAATATGACCAGTGTAGATTATTTATACGATGTACCTTTGAAAAGCTTTACACTTATTGAAACAAAAACAGAAATTGTTGGAAAAGCTCAGCAGATCAGGCAGCATCTGTGGAAAGAAATCAGAGTTAATGTTTTAGTTCCAATGACCCTACCTCCGAACTAAATTTATTGAAATTGATATGATTTTGGTGCAGTGGTTCTGTGGAAAGTGGATCAGAGTTCAGCCCAGACTTTTGGACTTGATAGTAATCTCTCTATTGACATGTAGGGCTCAAAGTTGAGCAGTGTCATCAGGTGTAGTTTTCAAATGCAACACTCACAATAATCTTCAGAAGAAAAATCATATCTGACTCAAAATGTTAACTCTGTTTCTCCCTCCACCAATGCTGCCAGGCCTGCAGAGTTTCTCCAGCATCTTTCCCTTTATTTTGGATTTCCAGCATCCGTAGTATTTTGCTTCTATTAGGTATTACTTGGAATGTATTAACTTCCACAAATAGATCTATCAGTAACTTTCAACATAATTGCAGTTAGCTGATTGAAATGGCTCGGGTAGGAATTATGGCATGTGATCCATCTGTCATACAAAAAGATCTAATTCTAGTAAATTTACCAAGTGGAACTGTGCTGAAGCGTTAAGGTTTCAAGAATAATTGAGGTATGGATTTTTGTGTTTCTAGGAATGCATGGATTGCTCCAGGGGTTAATTTTAAAATATTAATAGTCTTATGAGATGTCATATGCTGTCTAAGGCAATAGTAACTTTAATGTGTAGATATTTTGGTGGAGTAAAGACAACGTTTCATTTAATACTTCAGATTTTATTTAAAATAGTATGATAATATTAGTGATGACAAGGAATTGTGACTTCTTTCCAAAACGTACTTTAAAAAAAAAAAGTTGAAAAATTTCTGTGTTGAAAAATCTTTAATCTTTATATGGTATTTTTTTAAAACTTAAAATGTATCAGCATTTAGAAGACAATTAATAAATACCTGAAGGGAAAATATTTACAGCTAGTGGGGAAAGAACAGAGGAGTGGAATTAGTTGGATGGTACTGCCAAAGAACAAGCATGGACACAATGGATCCATTGCTATATGATTATAAGAGGCTTTATGATTATGATTAGTTTTGTAAACTGACATTACCACCATAATTTTTGGGTGCCAGCATTGATACCTTGTGTGTAGTAATGATGGGGTTAGATGAATTGGTTTATGGGCACATCAGCAGTCTAATGCAAAATATATCACTTTGCTGCTGGACTGCGGCTTTGTGTACTGTGAGCTTGACCCTCTAACACTGTGAGGTCTGATTGGTTTGTCTTATTAAATCAGTTAGAAGCAGATTGTTCACTTGTAGATTCTTACTTTAATTTGAGGTCACAATGCCCTTTTTAATACTACTTTGCAATGTGACTTCTGAACCTAGATTTTCCGATCAACATTATTTTACTGCTGGCAGAATTCCATTTACATGCTTTGTTGAGCAGAGCATTTATTTTAAATGGGTTCCTGCCAGTCTTAAAATAACACTGATTGGAAACTCTACACTCTGAAGCCAATTAAAACGTATTTTGAGTTAGAAAGGTTCTCTGTGTTGCCATTGGCTTTCCTTCTCTCTCTTTATTTATGTGTTTTACTGCAGTATCTCCCTAGTTGATGACAAAATTTAATAGATAAGATGCACTCAAATGTGATCCTGACTGAGGGACTTAGGTCATCCATCCCTTAGGTCACAAGTTGGGATGTTCTCTGACTGAACAATGTCAAGCACCATTTGTGACCCCTCAGACAATGAAACAGTCCATGCTCAAATGCATCAAGACCTGGACAATATCCAGGCTTGAGCTGACAACTGGCAGGTAACATTCACACAATAGAAGTCCAGGCAGTGATGGTCTCTAACAAGAGAGAATCTAGCCATCGCTCCTTGAGATTAAATGGCATGACCGTTGCAGAATCCCCCACGATCATCATGCTGGGGTTACCATTGACTGAGCCAGCATTCAAGAGGCTTGACAAAGCAGTCTGCTTAATAGGCACCACATCCACAGTTGCAGCAACATGCGACAGCCGCAAGATGCACTGCAACAATTCACCGGTTCCTTGCACCTCATCTTCCAAACCCATGTCCACTTCCATCTAGAAGGAGAAAGGCAGCAAATACACGGGATTGCCATCACCTTCAAGTTCATCTCCAAGCCACGACATCATTCTGTCCCTTCAGTGTCATTGGACCAAACCCATGTAACTCCCTCTCTAACAACATTTTGTCTGTCTGAGCCAAATGAACTGCAGTAGTTCAAGAAGACAGCTCACTACCAACTTTTAAAGGGCAACTAAGGGTGGACACTAAATGCTGGTCCAGCCACCGATGCTCACCTCTTTTTTTTTTTTTTAAATTACAGTACAAGAAGAGGCCATTAGACCATTGTGTTTGGTAGTTGACATTATTAGGAAATATTCTATTATGATAAATTTGAAGTAACATACCGTTTTCGGATGCTGAGGGATCAAATGCCACCATAGTCATAGTGTTCAGAGTATTCAAAGTATGATATTATGTTGCTTTTTTCTGCAAATGTACATGAATTTACAAATCCTATTCAATGACCAGAAATTGTTTTTTCAGTTTCAGATTGTTTAATTTTTTTGTTTTTGTTTTTGTTCCACAGGGCCACATAGGTACCACAGCAACCAAAAATATTGATGTCTACCTCCCCATGCAAACAAGCCAAGACAAGATGCAGCCAATGACTGTGATAACAATGGCAAATGCCAGAGTTCAAGATCTCATTGGCTTGCTCTGCTGGCAGTATACAAGTGAAGGACGGGAACCCAAGTTGAAGTAATTGAAATAACTTTACTTTTTTTTTAATGAAATATTGTTTTTCACCTACCTTCTTTGCCTTTACTTCTTTCTGATATAAATGAACCTTTTTAATCACAGACCTGGCAATATTACTAATTGGGCAATATGAAATCATTTTACTTTAGTATTTAAATATATTTTGTGCTACTAATTTCAGAAGTATAGTCTTTTATAAATCAGTTTATTTTGTTTCGGAATAGTTTCAGCCTGCGGTATGCGTTGTAGTCCAATTTTACTTGGCAATGTTGTTGTTCTTTTATGAAATATGGATTTTACTGGCAAGGCAAGCATTTGTTGCTCATTTCTAATTGACCTTAAAATGTAGTGCTGACACACGTTCAACTGCTGTAATTCATGTGGCATTGGACACCCACAGTACTGTTTGGTAAAGAAATTACACGATTTTGATCCATTAATGATGAGGGATAGCAATAGATCTCCAAGTCACAATAGTGCATGACTTTGAGGGATACTTAAATTTCATGGTACTCCACTCTGTTCCTGTCCTTTTTTTCTTCTAGCTGGCCACTGATTTCGAAGTGCTGTCAAAACAGCCTTGGCCAGCTGCACCTTGTAGAGCAGATAGCACACGTAGCAGTCATGGTGCACTGGGAATGGAGAGAGTAAATACTTGAGGGGATTGGGTGATGGTAGCCAAGAAGGCTGATTTGTGCTGGATAATGTCGAACTTTGTGTTTCTAGGAACTACGTTTATCTGGGTAAATGCTAAATATTCTGTCACATTCCTGACTTGTGCCTTCTGATGGTGGAAAGGCTCATAAGAGTCAGGAAATTAGTTACTTATCACAATATCTGGCCTTTGACTTGTTGGTATTGCCACAGTATTTACATTTTTGGTCAGTGGAGGACTCAACAATAATAATATTACTCAATATTCCGGAGAACCAGTATAATTTTGTCTTGTTGGAGATGATCGTTATCTGGCACTTAGCCAGATCTTGCTGTATCTGAGCATGAACTGCCTTTGATGTTCAATGGCATTGCTGTCACTGAATGCTTCACCTTCAACATCTTGGAAGGGTAAACATTGACCAACAACTAAACTAGGCGAGTCGTATAAACACTGGCGTCAAGAGCGGGTCAGAGCCTGTGATCTTTTGCGCCGATTAATTCACCAGCTGAGTTCCCAAAGCCTGTCCTTTAACTGCAGAACGCAGTCAGGAGCATGCTGGAAGGGAATGATCTCCTCCCACCTGGATGAGTCCAACTTCAGCAAGGCTTGAGACGCTTGACACCATCTGAGACGGCTACTTGACTGACATCCCACCCACCACCTTAATGGCTTGCTAAGCATTTCACGTGACAGCCAAGACTCAACCATTGTTGTCGCCAGACAGGGTAAGGATTGGAGAAAGGAAGAGATTAGTGGAAATGGATGTTGGTTTCTTGTATGCAGATATGAGAAATTGTAATGGAGTTAAGTACTGTACAATCTGTTAAGAAGATTCTAAGTTTTACAGATTGACATTGACCATGCTTAACTTTGGTTTGCAGTCTTTAAGAAAGTAATTGATTGTGCTGTTAGGTATTGCAGAGGAAATTTAAGTAGTCACAGCTTTCAATTTGTTTTTAGGTAATAACCTTTTGAATGTGGAGTCTTTTAATTGTCAGCCAAACATTTACAGTATTGCTAATTTGATAAAGTTGGTGATGTGGAAAGCATTGCAAGTTTAAAATAAAAATCTTCCCAAAGCTATTTCAGTTTCAAACTGAGCATCCAAACTACCAGGCAGAAATGGGAGTATCTTGCACAAAATCTGATCAACGTGTAAAGCCTTAAGAATTTTGCTCACACTTGTTGTCAATGTTGGCCAGTACATAATTGAGTAATGGTGAGGATAGTTAGGCAATTGTTAAAATAGTTGATGGAATTTGTGCCATTAAGCAGACTCTTTGGACAGCTACCACCAGAACTTGGATTTGGTTTCAGTTAGAGACCGCTTCAAAAAATACAGACGTTCGAAACCATTTCTTCACTATCTCTGACTAAACTATATCTGTTTTGTAACAAATTGACTGTGCGCATGCGAGAGTAAATAAAAAGATAATGCCCAATGACTGATTTCTTTGCTGATCCTAATCATGTTCTCTTAAAACAGTAGCTATTGCATCCAATAAGTCTGTAGTGAAGTACTTGGTTCCAAAATGGAATTGCTGACTTTATTTTCTGGGGAGGGACTGGCCAATGGCACCATTCAAGGTTTTCCACTGTAATTATCTTAAAAGAAAATATCCGCTGTCATCATAATTTTAGAGATGGAAATGGGCAGCCCTCTTCCAACACCTCTAAAAATTGGGTGAGTTCGTCCTGCCTCATTGCATTCTTATCTATCCAGTCATAACCAGAGAATCAGCTGTAACTTTTCTGCTTCTCTTTCTGCTCCACATTATTAATTCAGATGTTCTGCGAGGATTTATCCTGCTCCCATTTCCATCTGCAGGCAGCCTGTTGGTACCATCGTCATAAAACACAGGGTCAGATTCCACATGTATGCTAACAACACATAACTCTACCTCACCATCACTTCTTTCAACCTGTTCACTGTTTCTGTTTCATTGCATTGATTGTCTGAGATCCAGTCCTGCGTGAGCAGGAATTTCCTCCAAACTGAATTTTGACAAACTTTCTATCTCAAGCTCCATTCATTAATTTGTCTGAAGCTGAAACAGCTGTTCAAAACTAGGCATTTTATTTGAACTTGAGGTGAGCTTCTTCACTATCCCGTAGACAGCCTTTCTAAACTGCGTCAAACATCATCTGACTCTTTTTGTGTATTGGCTCAGAGGTTGAAATTCATATTTGTCTTTTTTTCCTGTAGTTTTGACAATGGTTATGTTTGCAAGGCTGACCATCTACGTAAACTAAGCTTATAGAAAATGCCTGCGTATTCTTGAAATTCATTCAAAGCCCTGTTCATCCAATACTCCTGTGCTCACTGATGACTTAATGTTTCAAATGACACTTGACATGGAGACAGTCAGAAATCTACACAAGGCGAAGATTTTATTCTACCAGTATTCATATGGGCATACAACTCGAGAGACTGTTCAACAGACGAAGGTTTCTTTGTCAAAATCAGAAACTGTTGGAGAAACTCAGCAGGCCTAGCAGCATCTGTGGAGAGAAAGCAGAGTTACTTTTCAGGTCCAGTGACTCTTCAGAACAAAGAAGGTTTCTATGTGTTGATACACTTTACAGTTGTGCTTATTTTTCAGGCATGTGATTTGACGCATGATCATTGACAAGTTAGTTAAAAATTTGATGCCTCCTTAGAAGGCTTGATCAGTCACTGGTTGGGATAAACGCTTTGTCTGTTATTAGGCAAATGAAGCTCCTGTTGTGTGTACATCCAGTGACCTTGTCCCTTGAAAAGGCAAATGGTTTCTTTGTAGTGATAAACGAGTTTCTCCTTTACATCAAAGATGTGGTTTTGTCTCTGTGTAGCTAAATGGCTCATGTCTCCTCTAGGTCTGACCACATCTGAATTAAGCTTACATTCAGTATGTTTTATTTTGACTTTTAAAATGCCTCCGTGAAATGTCACTCCTATATCAAGCTTCCCAACCTGCTGAATGCCTTTTTGCCCTTCTCCGTATCTACATATTTGAAGAAGGGTCAACTTTCCTGCTCCTCTGATGCTGCCTGGCTTGCTGTGTACATCCAGCTCCACACTATTTTATCTCTACGTATCTAACTAGCTGTCAACCTAATTCAATATACCTATGTGTTCTCACATTGCCAGATCTGAAGCCAACATGTGTCAATGCTTCAACTATAAAACTTGATAAAACTCTATTGTTGATTTCAAATCCTTTCAATAGCCTCGATCCTTCCTTTCTCTAACCTCGTCTAGCCTTACAACCTCCATATTCTCTGCACCTCCAATTCTGTCCTCAGCTGCTTCATGAGAACTATGCTCAGTGCTGTGTGCTGCTAAAGTCTCAACTTCTGTCTCCAAAGTACTGCCTAAAACTGTCTCAGAACTGCCCTGCCTCAGTCCCACTTCATTCTCTAGCTTGCTTGATATTCTAACAAGAAACTTTTCCCCTTTCTTTCAGGCATTAAGGACGCAAGCTGCAACACTCCAAGATACCCACACTCTTTTGGAACCTTCCTCCCTCCCCACCCCTTCCCTCTGAGTCCGTCCTTTCCCCTGAAAGACATTTGGATAAGTGCATGAATAGCAAGGTTTGGAGGGATAGGGGACAAACACCGGCAAGTGGGACTAGTTTAGTTTGGGAATATGGTCAGTGTGGACTAGTTGAAGCGATGGTCCGGTTCCAAACTGTATGACTCTGATATCTCTTGTCGGATATTTAGTATCCCTTCTGACCTTCCATTCTCTGATACTGAACATTCTGTACTCGGTGAAAGTTGTACACCTACCTCAATAAATTTCAGGCTAGATATGACGTTGAACTCTTCTTCCATTGCCTCTGCTGCCATGCCCATTTCTTTGGACAAAAGTCCTCTCCCTGTCCTATAGATATATCACCCGCTTCCAACACTGTACCTCCACCTGGACCCCTCCTCTTGCCTTTTACCTGCATTCAGCTTGTTTAGTGTAAACTGTCAACATGACATTGGTCGTCTTAATTTCTCTGACTATCTTACCCATTTGAACCTATCTCCCTCTGAATTGACTGCACTCCATGCTCTCCAGATCCAATCCTGACTTTGTCATCAAGCCTGCTGACACGTGTGGTGCAGTTGTTATCTGGTGTACTGAGTTGTGAGCGCCAGCCCTTGGACACCACCTCCTATCTCCTGGGACCATGACCCCACCATCAAGCATAAGGCCATTCTGATCCAACCTCTTCTCATCTGGGGATCCCCCCAACCCAGCTCTTAGTCCCCGAGAATCATGCAGCCCACTTGTATTTTCTGCCCAAAATCCACAAACAGGACTGTTTCTACCCTGTTTCTGCTTCATTGAACTTAAATTGAGGCAAAG